GAGCCCATTCATGCCAACCACAGTAGAGTTTCGAGTGGAAGAGGTTCCGAAGCAATCTGGCTTCGGAGAACCTCAGGTCTTGAGCGACACTTGATGATACATCCTGTCAGCTTGCGTGTCTGTTTGGCACCGGGCGGGGGGAAGCGGGGGGATATCTAGCTGCTTGCGCTTTGCCTATGATGCACAGCGCAAGCTACGCAAGCCATCACATGCTCCTCAGTTGCGGTTGGAAAAACGCCTCAGGCCTGACACGCAACTTTGAGTCTGGGGTGGGCATTGCCCGAAACAAAGCCAAGCCAGGCTCCTCATGTACGTCATGCTTTGCTGCAATTCTAGAAACCACCAACAGCAATTCCTACAGGACATTGGCTACTGAAAATCAACCAAAAGCAAGGATTTCCCTGATGTCCCGTTGAATGTGCTGGAAACCCTTTGTTTGCCTAAATTCCCTCAAAGGAGCTTCATGACCCTACGGGTTTCTAAACGTTCCCTTTGAACATCCTCTGCCAAAAGAAAACTGAATTTACCTGCCTTTTTTGCCAAAAGGATGATGTAGAAAACCAAAAGGCCTAAGATCCAAAGGCTTGCAAACACGGACTAGGGCTAACACCCGGGCCTGACAACAACTCCAAAGCAGGCCTCACCACTCCGTCCCTTGGCGAAAGCATTCGTCGGATAGCTTCGCCTCTCCCAGTGCGGCCGCCTTTCTTGCCGTGGCCTGCGGAATCGGAAACATGGAATCCGACCAGCTGGAGATGTGGTATCAAGTGTAAACTAAACTGGTCCTGATAAGTATACAAATCCGGAATCTTGGTTCAGGTGAGTTTCGGCCCGTGAGAAAGTAGAGGGTCCATTCAGAAAAACAGCCAAACATTCGTGCTGATCTTGAAGTCATAACAAGGGTTCAAGCGCTTTTTGGCCAGAGGCATTCCCATGGTCGTTGCGGTCCCGGAAACCTGTCTGATTGTCAAGGCTCTGGACCCAAACGCCGGGTTTTCCCTGGCTTCCTTCAAGAACACCAAAGCCACGGTCCATGATAGAGGTGGAAGTCGGCGGCACATCGCGAAAATTATATTCCTGTGTCGTGCGAAGCGAGTCCTTTCAGTCTGGCCATCTTGGTTTGAGAAATCCGCAACCTGACCCACGTGCCTGCGCATTGCCCTGCAGTGACTTATTCAGCGATGCTGAGCCGCCCGACCTCAGGCATCTGGCATCTGGATCTCACTTGCTACGTGCCTCGTCGCGCTAATGAAGCCAGCTGAGCGAGGCGTTCAACCACGCGCTGGAGATTCAACTCTTTTCAAGCTGAAGGCAAAGATCTAGCCAAAATCACGGCGTCACTGCAGCTTCCAAACCCAGAAAAGGGAAGCCTCTAGTCTAGTAAAGAACTTTCATCATATGAGCCCGGTCCCACCTTGCTTGACGTTGGGTTCGGGGAGCAAATATTTAAATGTTAGCAGTTACGTGGCTGGATTTCAACCACTAAACCACAATAAGCAAAAATGTGAAATGTTTCCCAACAACAACCATGCCACTCTGACAGGCCCGGTTATGGCAGGCCCGGTTCAGTCTGAGCGGCGCAAGGCCCATGGTCTCAAAGCGGCTCCTGTAGTCGGCCTTACACAGGCCGCGCCCGAAACGGCCTTCCAAGCAACACGGGTTGTTCGGAAAATGTGAAAGGCAGGGCGATCCAAAATCCCAACCTGTTATTGAGTCATCTGGAGTGCTTGAAGCAGCAACAACGACACCACTATTTAAGGATTAAGCAAATTAAGGATTGATTGATTGGGAACGCACGTCCCAAGAAGGAAGGAACAATGTGGGAACTCTAGAGCAATCAAGGGCCAAGTGGGAAACAGCTGCATAGGCTGAGTCATTAACTCAAACCCTTGGCTGCGGTTTTCACTTCAAACATCACCGCAGCAAAAGGAGACTCATGCTAAATTGGCAACCATGCAAAAGGTGTAAAAAAAAAAAACACGAGACAGGGACCTTGTGAGTGTTCCAATCCGGAAAAGCCTTAGAGTTTGCACACCGCTGGGGAGGTCCCCCCAGCTCCCTCTCAATCTTGGAAGTGCACAAACCCGCTTGGAACAGACAATAGTCCTCTTGGGCCCGGTGTGATTCCATGTTTGTTTGTGGGAGGGATCGGGGTTACTGAGTTTCACCACTTCAAAACTGAACCTCTCAGCACCCCATACCCTCCTGTGGCAATACGGAGCAAGCTGCCATGCTGTTGGGCTTCGTCCCCTGCATGCGCTTTGGCCTCAGCTGCGCTGGCTCAAGGGTGCTAAATGTGGGGGGGGGTATGGAAACATCACAATTTCAACCTGCGTCCTGTTGGGGAAAAGACACCTCTGTCGCACCCGGTTGCAACTGTGGCCAAACAAGACGGCTTATGCGGGCTCGGAATCTATTGAACTGGGCCTTGGGGCCTTGGGGCCTTGGGGGCCTTGGGGCCATTAGGGCAAAACCTGAAAAATACGGCTTCAAGAACCATTTTCTTGCGCGCGTCTATTTGCTTTTCCGATCTACATGCGCATGTTGGCCCGAAAGGCTTGCGGTTGTTCTTCCGGGCGCGCCCAGGCCATCTCAAAGTGGGTTGACAACCAGGCGGCGGAGGATGAACCACGGCTGCCAGGGATGACCACATGATGCATCCAAGAGTCACCAGCCCCAAGAATTGTTAGCGCAACAGCCGCAACTGTGATATCCAACATGGCCAAGTGTCGAAATGATTCGTCGAACTGTATCCTTTGAGCAACCCTGCCGATGCACATCCTTTTTTGGCCCTCTGGGTGCAAAATGGCGGGAGTGGAAAACATTGAGTTCTTTAGCATTGAGCCAACCAAAACAAGGGGCAGGCCTTCGGCCTTCGGACCTGGGGCCCAGACATTCCTCCAGACTCGAAGCCCACCGTGTTCATCCTGGGCGCATTGGGATCTAAAGTAACGTACCAAAGCCCTTGACATCTTTGGATTGATACGGACAGATTCATCCAGGGCTCGCAGATGCTCGCAGCGAAGCTTTGCCTCTATGGAACACCCCGGCCCCTACTCAGCAACCGGGGTTTATAAATCCGGGTTCCATTGCAATGATTAATGGTTGTAGTTCCCTCGACACTCCGGAAGGAACTTGTTGTGTCCAGGAAGGGAAACCTACAAACCGATTGTGCACGCCTCATCTTGTAGCATTCAAAGGGACCGAGCATAGAGTGGATGTTGGAGACCCCCAGACTTCAAGCGTTCCCCCTGTGTGAGGCCACGATCTGGTCGGTAAACCCCTCGTGCCTCGCAGATTGCACGACTGCACCCCATGGCCATGTCGCTTGGGGGATTCATCACTTTTGAAGGGACCACCCGATTCATCTCGCTTCCTGAGTGGAATGGCCAACAGTGTAAACTGTTTATTCACAGCTAACATGATCGGTCTTCCCCAAAAGTCTAAGGTTCATGCAGGAACCTAGGGAGTGAGTAATAGGACGGGTGCAAATTTTCTCTGGGGCGGGGTGAAAATGACAGAGCGTTGACCCCGGACTAATGAACCTGCCAGACTAATTGCGGGGGGGGGGGGGGGGTTGGCACAACAGTCTCAAGTGGAGGATATCGGGACACCTTATATTAATCCGCCATGGGCTGTTCATCCTTTGTAAACCACATGCTCTCTGGGTAAACGATACTCCTGGCATCATCTGGGACAGTACATTTCTAGGTGCAATGCAATGTACCGCATCCCATGTTGATGCTTCTAAAAGGCGTGTCACCTATCAATGGATGTTTCCCTTTGGCCTTCCTACAGAATAACTAGGTCCTCCAGTAGAGAGGTTAGAATAAGGGTACCCTTTTTTCTGTAGTCTATTTTAGTAGGGGAACCCCCCCCCCAAAAAAAAAAAGAGGTAAAAGGGCACTGCTGGGGGACCTGAGATAACCCCAAAATGGGCACTCTCAAAAACATGCGCACCCATGAAGGGGCACCTGTGCGTGGCTTTTCCATGGCCTTCCGCTGCACCTTTCTGAGCCGCGCGCTTGGCTTCGATCTTGGCCGTGCGGTATTCCAAGATGTTCATCTTGGGCGCCATGGCTGTCAAGTCACACCCTTCGTCCTTGTGCACAGGGAAGAGCGGCGCGAGGCCGCCTTTGGCTTTGCGATGTTCGTCCTACGTAAGTGGCGAGCCACTTGGGTAACTTACGAACAGGTTTAACTCAGAATGCACTGTGTTATGCTGCTAAGGGCGTCCCTGACGAGCATGGGGATGCTCCCGGCGGACTGCCTGGTTTGTCGCTTGAAACCTGCCGTGTGCCATGTCAAAAGGTCTGGACTCGAGGGTTGGGCTCTGATTGCCCCTGTTGGCCAGGGCCATTTTAGGGGCCTCACACGTTGGCCGTCTTGAGTTCGAATTGGACGGCGGGGTTTTACCTAAGCCTAGCCGAATAATCGAACATGCTAAACCACAAAGGGCTTGATGCTGCGGCTCTTGCTCGCCGGTTGCTTGTTCCTCTGCCCCCCCCCCCTTTGAGCCAAACAGCGGCTTGACGTTGGGCCGGAAAAATGTGCAGCGAGTTTCCACACCCAAGCCAGCAAGGGGAGAACGGGTTGTACCGCTTTTAAGCTTGTAGACTTTGATAGGTTGGCGCCACAGAGAACATCCCAGTGTGGCTGTGCAATTTGTTGATGGGTTAACTTACCGGAGGATCAAAAATCGAAAGCCGGGGCTAAGAGCCAACAGGGTGTCCCGGAGCAGGTGTGCACGCAGAGTGATGTCCTGACACCTTACGGGTTCATGGCAGGTTTGTATGCACAGACATTGCTCGTCTGCCTGCACACTATTGAAACTCAAATGTGTATAGGATCCGCGAGTTCAGTGGTGTGAAAGTTGTAATGGCTCTGATCTGGCTTTGTGAGTCGGGCAGCAGCGGCTCATTTCCCGGGAAGCGCTGCAAAGGCGATGCCGTCAGAGAGAAGGGGGTATACCATCCGCCAACGCTCCGAGTGAGCCGTTCACAGCAGCGAGGGCGCCGCCAATCTCTGTGAGCGTTCTTGATTCGCAGGCTTCCGATTCTCCACGCCCATAGCTCCATCTTCTCCATGGCGTCACTGGCTCAGCCAGCCGCAATCCACCCACACCGAGGCGGATCGCATCTTCACGGAGGCCCCTGACGGCAAGCGCCAGAAGGTCACGAAGCGCCCACGGCAGCGTCCATGTCACGTCTTCTTCGTGGCCGACTTCCTGGGCGAGTGCCAAGCTTTAAGCTCTGCTGAGCTGATGTTTCGTCCAAGCCTAACATCCTGAAGCATGTTTTTGTTTTTAAATCCCTCCATGTCTCTTATGTGACACTGCAGCGATGTCAACTGGCGGGTAGCAAGACTAACTCCTCAAGGCCTTGATTGTCGGGGGTGCCCCGGTCTCTGAAAGGTACCGATTGTTTGGTGTTTTTAAAGGGGAACCAAGAGGAAACCCATCATGACGGGTTATTTTTTGGTTTAAAGGTGCACCCATGTAGCTGCACCTATCTGCAATGTTTAAGGATCCCAAAGTGAATCTTCATGGCCTCACTTCGTCGCCGTAAAACAGGCAGACCTGGGCTGGACCAAATCTAACTCACATCAGTTGGGAGAGGCAAGCGAGGGAGCCAGCGGTCATTCCTTTCCCTGATCCCCTATCCTGAGGCAGAGATTGACCGACGGGGAAAAGGGATAAGAGGAAGAGGAACACGGTTTTATTTCTAGAATATATCCAATATTCATATCTTGGCTTTTCGCATTTCCACTTATTACTATATGAGATGCAGCTGTTTAAGAGGGCTATCACCCCATTCTTATCTACCACTTTACAGCTCTTGAACTTCTTTAAACGGACCGGGTCCCTGTTAGGTGCCATATTAATTGGTGGGAGGGTATATACTGCTGGTATGCGAATTTGGCATGAACATCAACAGCACATTTAGCCAACCAACCAACCCTCCCCCCCAATCTCCCTCTCGCCCGCTTCCGCCCGCCCGCCGGATTACGCAGCAACCAAACACCCACCCAGCCAACCAACCAGCGAAACATAAAATGCCTAAGATATCAATGCTTTCCCTTTCTTCTCGCAACCTTTCCTTTCGTTCCTGTTTCTCCTTGTTTGCTCCTCCTTCTTTTCTGCGCAGCCAACCAAATAAATCAACACTGCTGGCTCTTTCACTTTCCCTTCTTTCTTCCTTCCTTTTTCACATCATTTCACATCCCAACTACCCCTCTCCAACCCGATGCCCCGGGTGTTTTCCACCGACTCCCCCCCCCCCCAAACTCCCCGCGGCCCGATGCAACGCGCTGCCGCGCGGATCCGCGCCTCGTCTGGTGGATCTTCCGCCAGGCCGCGGCTTGGAAGGAGTCCTGCAACCCCAAGGCCTGCGAGAGCCGCAGCGGGTCGTCCCAAGCCTCCGAGACACGTGGGTCACGTGGGGTGGGACGGGTGGGACCCAAGGGGTACGACACCACGGGAGGTGAAGCAAACGGAAAAAACTTTGAATAAAGAGCAAAACCAAAAAGTCTGCAACAAACAGGGTAAATCCAAAACCGGGGTATGAAACAAAGACCTCCTTGCTGTTTCGATAGGCAGGGAATGAGAAACGGAATGACCCCAAGAAAAGCCATCCCCCAAATCGGCTTCCCTTCAGGGAATCCCCAAAGCCGGTTCATTTTCCCACCCCGTACTCGGTCACCCCCTATCACACCAGCAAGCTTCCTGCGACTGGCCGGTCCGGGTCCAAAAAGTTTGAAGTCCACCCAGGGGTTGAGGACAAAGGTAAAAACACAACGGCAGAACCAAAAGACATGGTCAAACACGACGGGTAGAGCAAAGAAGGGTACACGTTGTTGAGAAAAGAGAACACACCATCTGCAAGGATGAGAGACAAACAAACCCGAGCCCTCCACCAAAACATCCCAGACTTCGATTACAGTCTTCCTTTAGCTTTTTTGTTGAAGCGTAAGACTCTGGCATAACTTGATAGGAACCCTCCCTCTTTTTTTTCTCAGCGGTCAACAAGATCCAGTCTCTTTGTTCGCCGCGAAGAGATCCCCAACTGAGTGAAACAACTTGGCCAAATGGATCCCGCCGACACACACCGTTTCGTTTGTTGTGCTTTGTTCTGGAGCCATTCAGTCAGCTCCCAGAAGCTATTTAGGGTCCAGCAATGTTAACCAGTCTTCTGGCTGAACATTACTTGCCTAAGGACCTGGAAATAATGGTCGGGCATTGCCAATGGTGAAAGAGGACATGGAGGCAAAACAGGAACACCAAACATCATGCGTTTGCTTCAGTCCCATGGCAGAATCATCATGTAGTCATAGGTCCCCTTCAAAGCCAACAAGGGACAATAACAAATATTCTGCCAAGCAAATGCAAGAAATGCAAAAGAGAACCATGTAGGCTAAGAGGCGATGTTGAACGGCACGCGCCGGGAAGAGTCCACCACCTTCAGCAGCAGCCTGTGCACCTGCTGAATCGGACACTTGGTGGGCGCAGGGGTTCCTAGACTTCCCTGGAACCATCGATTGAAAGGAAACTTCCCTACAATGGGCCTCAAAAGGTGATGTCCAAAACAGGCAAAAGGGGGAAGGGAGACCTGAGCAACCATCTTCTAATAGCAGGTTGTTTAGTGTGCGCCATGTCATTTCATTCACTTCAGTGCGTGCCATGTCTGGATCCTTGCTCGGACTTGAGATGCTATCTTGTTTGAGGAAGGGCGAGGGCGCTTTTGTGATGCATAGGGGTAAGCAAATATATGTATATGTCTATCTAGAGTAAGGACATGAACACGCATAGATCGATGTAATCTTGTAGTACGTACTAATGTGAATATATATATATATACATACATATGTACACATATAAACAGTGAACATGGACAATTCATAACCGTGTTTGGGGTTCGGTGATAGCAAGATATCTTGCAAGCTTAATCCCTCGCTTGCCCAAAAGTCAGAGGTCCCAAGCACAATTATTACAACCAGGAAGGCCATGATCCAACTAGTTACCAAAAGCTTTAGAAATTCCAACAAAGTAGCGACTCCGTTCTCTTTGGAAATGCCGGCTTAGCATGCGAGTCGCGAGGTTTGGACCAGAGCCATCTATGGAACTACTGAGCTACGATAAGGAATCGCATTCTCGTGCGTGGGCGTTTCAAGACACATTCAAGGCCCAGAAAAGAGCTCACTTCACAACCTGGCAAGAGTTCAAACCTGAATACGCAAAAATCAGATTCAGCGGATTTCTGAGGGAAAAGCAAACTGGGTTGTTCAAAATGGGGGAGGGATCCCTCCTTCTGATCCGCAGTGGGACACCACAACAAGGGAACCCACCGGCATGTGGCATAAAATTAAGGATTAACTTCAACCCACGCCGGAGAAAAGCAGCACAACACCAAAAATAAGAGCTCCTCCTTTGGCCGCCCCCACCCGAAGAAAAAGAAAAAAACACAACAAACTTTGGGCTGCGGGCTTCTTGCTCCCCCACCTGGCGCCAGGCTTCCTGATAGAAGGGCAGGCCCTCGCAGCAGGTGGGGTAGGCGAAGTCCTGGAAGTTCAAACGCCCTGGGATCACCACCTTCTGCGCACCTGGAAAAGGCGACACGAGTTGTGTTTGACAAATCGGAGACACCAAATCGGAGGAAAACACGAAACACTAGAACTTGGTTGATGTTGGGTTTGGGGAGCAAAAAATCTCAAATTTTAGCAGTTAAGTGGCTGGATTTCAACCACTAAACCACAATGAGCAAAACTGTTTCCAATGTTTCCCAACAACAACCATGAGAAAGCTACAAGGCTAAGGGGATGGCTGGGAGCAACCAAGTAAACCAACTTCATCAATAGGTGCCTGAGACAGACCCACGCTTAGCAAAAAGCACGTTGTGGGGCACCTGAAAGCTCAGTCTCCTCTTGAGACCTTGAAAAAGCTATGCTCTTCCGGTGAAAAGAAAACGCTCCGAGGCGTTTGCAACATCATGATTGTTGGAGAAGGGGGTCATTGGCCGGGAGCCTCTTGGCGAAATCAGGAAAATCACGTGGTTTTATCTCCAAGGGCTCTTAGGTCTTGCCTCCCGGCAACAAGAGCAGCAACTTAAGTGACACACATGAGAGCCGAAGCACATGGCACACTTTGTGAGGTCCCCTGGTTGAGGAGTCAAAACTACGGGTGTGGATAGTGGCCATGGCCCCACCGGTACAATGGAGAAAACATAATAACTAACATGTATCATCATAATAAATAACAAGCATAATTCTAAAAACATGCAAGTAATAGTAATAAAAGTAATAATGATAATATATCAAGGGATGCCATCCAAGAACCGCCTGCTGTTAGAAGATTCAGATCCTCCAGCCTGGCTCCTGGTAACAGTGAAGCTTTGCCAGGGCCACATGCTGCTACTTTAAGGAACCCTGGTAAAGTGGTCGTTGGAAAACGGAGGGTGTGCATCTTTCTGTTGAGGGCACCCAGGGTTTCTGGTTTTTGAAGGGAAACCAACAAAAAAGAAGAAAAACAACTAATAAGGAAGAAACATGCTGGTTTCGAAGGGAAACCGCGTAAAGAAAAGAAAAGAAACAGATTCACCCCTACTTTGTGGTTTCGCAGCGAAACCAACAAGGAACACCATTGCGAGGTCCGTAAGGCTGAAGACTCAAGTCCAGGGCGCTGTCCCCAGTCCAGCAGGACAGGTTACCCCCATACCCGAAGACTGGGTTGCAGCAGGACTCCCAGATTTGCAGCCAGGCAGACCAGTGCTCGCCTGGTCAAAAGGCAAGTTTCTATGTGGATTTGCCGGTTTTTTGAGCGGTGCTAGTGTTTCGAGGTGATTTGAACATGGATTTTTATATACAACTAAAGGGGACCCGCCCAGATTTGTGGATCTCCCAATTTTCGGCGGCTGATTCCCCCCAGGTAGACCAAAAACCAGGGCTTACCCTTTCGGACAAATCAACCACTACTCCAAAGCAGGGTGAGCAAAATTGTCTCATTAATTCTAGCACAGCTGGCCCAACGCAAAGGGAACATAAAGGAGGTGGACTAAGCAAGAGTAGCTTGATATGTTTGAGTCAGTTGGCCGAGTCAGTTGGCCAAGGGGCTTTGCACCTGGGGGGTCTTTTGGTTGCCGGAAGATGAAGCTAAAGACCACTCCCACGCAAGGCTCAAAGGCCGGGGCTTGACCTTTTTCCATGGGAAACCAGAAAAGCAACCATGGAAGAATGCCTGACTCACACTCCCAGTCATTGATCAGGAGCCCCGTTCCCCGGAAAGGCAGGAACCCCCACCAAAATAACAACAGCCCCCAATAACTGCCACGGTAGATCCCCCCTGCTGTTCACGCATCGTTTGGAGACAAACCACTCACATTCCCTGCGCTGCCCCCCGATTTTTCTGAAAAGAAGGATCTCGGAAGCCGGGTCTAAGCAACATCCTCAAATCACCTTTGTGTTTGCCAGGAACCCACACAAACAGCATTTGGTTGAATGCTTCTACATGTGGGCTGGTCTCCAAATCTGCGAACCCCTAAAAGCGGTTGGTGTCCATTTGGTTGGACACTGCTCTAAAAAATGTGAACCCCCAAGCTGGGGCTGCAGTCAGATCCCCTGCTAAAAGTTTAACTTTGGGTCAATGGAAACTACCACCAAACCAACTAAACAGCTTCAAAAGGCTAAGTTCACCCGGATGGCTTTGGAGCCACACCAAGTAAAGACGCTTGGAGTTGTCCGACAGAAAACCACCCCCACCCCCGGGTTTCACCCCCGCCTGGCGCCGCCAGGTGGGGCCAGCAGTTGTGCACCCGCTTGGAGAGCCAGCTCTGCAGGTTGCAGGTGTTGTGCCTGAGCGGCGATCCTTCCTCAAGATCCACAGCCCTTCGAAACTCGTTTTTGGAGGTGATGTCCTTGTCATTTCGTTCTTGTGTTGCGCTGTTGTGTTCTTGTTTTTTCTGTTCTGTTGTTTTCCTCTTCTTCTTTTTTTGGGGGGGAGCAACTTTGGGCAGGTGATGTCCTTTTCGCGTTGGGAAAACTGCAACTAAGTTGCCAAACATGGCTATCTTCCCGTGGCTTCCTTTGAACGTTAAGCAAATAAAAGCGTGAGCTATGCAGAGACCAGTGATCTGGAAGAGAACAAAGTTTCCCATAAGGGGCCAAATAGCCATTCTAACCCTAATGATAGCCCTGGGCTACAAGGACAGGGAAAAATAATAAGCATTTGCCAAAACGAGACCCAAAGATGACCCTGCAGTGCTCCTTCCCTCTGCTATGGGCCCGCCACTGCCTGGTGGAAAACCTATCCATGAATTGAGCCCAAGGATGGTGGGGAACCTGCGGATTCGGCAGATTCGAGGTGCACGAAGCGGAGGTTCGGGTACGCGTCATGGAGGCTCTGAAGGATCACCTTGCCGGACAAGTCAGACAACTGGGTCTTTTCTTTAGACTTTTTCTCACGAATGCCACTTTCAGTTGCGTGTCAAAAAAAAGGTCCAAAAGAACAACCTACTTCTGTGCGAGGGAAAGTGTGCGAGTATGGCACGGGAGTGTCCCCGTTCCACTCGCACACTCGCACAATCCACACTCGCACGCAGGGTACTCGGAGGGTACTTGGAGGGTACTCGCGCAGGACCTATCATAGTTGTATTTTGCAACCTCCTGGATTCAGCTCAGGCATGTGTAATCGCAAAACCAATCTCTTGGTGAGACGTTGAAGGTGATGGCTTCTGCCTTTTGGAACATATTGGAAGCGTCAGGAATAGGAATTCTGCCAATAGGAATTCCATGTTTGAAGCGCCAGGCGTTTTTTTTTCACGCCTTGAGAGGGAACAGTTCAGGCGGCACTTTCGAAAGCCGAAAGCCGAACATCCCTTTTCGGAAGGCGCAAAGAGACCATAGTACGCGGGGTGGGGTTTGGCCGTGGGGGCCAAGAAGGGGGGGGCTCTATCATGTAGTGAGTGGCCTTCCTCCTTTAAATTAAACTGTTCTTGTGGTGATTGGCCTGCAATTGCATCGTCAGCAAGGAACGTGCCTGACTTCTGGTCTTGGGCATGTGTGTGTGTGTGTGGGTATACTGTTGACATTGAGCCATACGTATCTATGCCGAAGGTTTCCACGGGGTGATTTGGAGATGCCGCAGGTTCTCTGACTGGCGCTTGGAAGCCAACAATTTGCTCCATTGCAACATCCATTCTCCGCCCGCTCCCTTCAAGACCGCTAGTGACATTGGGTCCATTCAAGTAACATCCTCAGCATGACCCTGTGAATCGTGGGCCGAAAAGAAGCCACTCGCAAAGTTATTCTAAGAACTCCTCAAATTGATGCACTCGCACAAACTTAGACCCCTTGCGAAAGCGAGCACTTTGGTGGTTGGAAGGAAAAAATGAAGGAATGCCAACAAGGATATGTTGCTTGAGCTACCTGCAGATGTTCATTTAGGCTTCATGACCATTTTGCGACAGTGTGGCTGGAGCAAAACGAAACGACTGTCGCGCCTTGAACTCATCGAGCTTCTCCTGGAGCACGTCCCCATGGACATTCCTTGGATGTTGGGAAAATCTGGCTGCAGACTTCACAATCAACCCTAAAACAGGGGTTCATACCAGATGTTCACAGCGATAACCTGCATCTTGCTGTAGTATTTCCGAAACCCGATGCAAGAAATGGACCCAAGCAAGGGATCCACATCATGGTGAGCTTGCTTTGCTTCCAAGTTAGCCTGCCATAAAATAGGCGAATGCATGAGAGGGGCCAGGGGGGCTCCCCGCTCGACGAATAGAAATCCATAAAAACCAATCGGCCATGGTGTTCAATCTGATTTTGCATTCTGCTTCCTTCCTGCGGATTGGCCCAAAGAAGTCGAACCCGTGCTTACCAGCCAAACGATGTGCCCAAATAGCGAGCTTGGAAACTTGACCTGCATTTTCGGGACGTCCAAATGGTAGGTCTGTGGGCGTTCCCCTGCAAGCCGTCCATCAGGGTACCGGCACCTCCAAAAAGGAAGACACAACGGCTTGTCTCGGTGTCCCTTCTCCATTTAGTTAAAACCCACCAAAATGGCCGGTGTCATATGATTCCATTTCATCAAACCCCACCTAAGCAGGGGATCCCCCTGAAAAAACCACCAGGTCTTCCAGTAGAGGTGTTAGAACAAGCGTACCTGTGTTTTCTCCTTCTGCAGTCTATTATACATTTTTGTGATATTTGATATCTAAAAGAACATTGATATATTGGTTATATGTTATTACAATCAAGGGTCTATTGAATAATTGATATTATTACATTAGCATGATGAAATCCTGCAGAGGTTTTGAAAGGGGGGTTGCTATCTGACCTCTTTTTTGTTTGGGTTGGGGGCCAGTTGGGGGGGGTGGATTTCTAGTTGAAATCCTGGAGATGTCCAAGGGGAGGTTCCTTCAGGGTTTGTTGAGGGTTTCCGTAGGGATCTGCGATTCCGTTTCTTGTGTGAGATGGCTTACCAGCCCCTCCCCAGCTTGACCCTGCACGTTTCCCCCATCAAGGGGTTGGCGAGGTTGGGTTGGTTTCCCACTAATTCTCTGCAAGGACCGCCACTTTGACCACCTGCTCTTCCATTTGGTTAAGACTATTTTTCTATGTTCACCTGTTGATTCTAAAAAGAACCTATCACTACTGGACATATTTTTATTTTTTTTCCAGGGGACATTTTGCAAAACTGGAGGTGCCGGACATGTTGCGAGCCTACTCCCCGGGCCCACCACGTGTGTCACTCACAGGGTGCCAAAGGGGTAGCGGCCAGCTTGCACAAGCACTCAGACTCGGGGTGTAGCAGGTGCCCAAAACTCAAACAACATCTACCCCAAACGCCACACCAAAGCCATGCTTCAATCCTTCAGCCCGCCCCTTTACCTAATGTGGATGGCCGAAATCCGTTTCGCACCACTTCGAAGCCGTGGTTGAAACCATCCGTTGGTATTTGTGCAGGGCTGACCTCATTCCATTCAGTTTTAGCCAGAGAACCCTCCCAACCAAAACTTGGTTGACGTTGGAAGGGGAGCAAAAACTTAAACTTAACCTTTAGAAGTTAAGTGGTTGGATTTCAACCACTCAACCACAATAAGCAAAAATTGGAAAAACCCTAACAACAGCCATGAAAAAAAAAACTGAGAAAGGGCACCGTGGGACCAAAACGCCACGCGGTCCGTCCCAAAACGACGCTTCGCTGGGAGGGGCTTGCAGCTCTGGCCCCCGTGGCCCAGGCCATCGGAGCAGAAGTGCACGCCCACCCGGACCTCGGTTGCAACGACCCGGCAAAAAGTTGTTGTTTGTGTTTTAGCAAAACAGTTTATTATTGTGATGTTATTATTTTTGTTTATTTATATATTTTTTTTATTTTTTTTGTGGGGTTTGGTGGAAAAAATGTTTTGGGGGTTTAGTGGAAAACCCAACTTGATTTCAACCAAAAAGTCAAAAAGTCTAAAGATCCCAATAGCAGTCAAGGGACCACGTCGAAGGCGTCCGCCACAACGTCGAAGTGGTCCATGCGGCTGAAGGGCGCCCGGCCCTGACGGATCAACCCACTGACTACACCCCGGGGTGGGCCATGGCAACTGCCGCTAAACACTAAAAATCTAACAAGGTAGGGAACCGGATGGCTGGGAGCCACCAAGAGAACTTTTGGTGCAGCACTCAAAGGTGCAACCCCAAAAAGTGCTTAAAGTTAACATGAACTCAGGAAGTGAGAATGACTAACCCCAGTTGCCCAAGTTCCAATCTGGGTTGTAACCTTCTAAATCGGCCAACCCAAGGAACCCCTCCGCTAAATGAGAGATGTCTGAATTACTTGGGTTTCATGAAGCAGATGCCACCACCCCCCAACAGGGCTCCTACATTTTCCCTCAAATCACTCGAGTAGGAAGGGAGACGGTCCTTGAACATGCTACAACTGTGTCCATGTCAAAAAAAAACAACAATATTTATAGATTTGTAGGGACTCCAACCCCAAACGTGCCTCCTGGTTTGATGCATCTTAGTCTCCCCTTCTGGGTTTTGTTTCAGGGCTGGGCCCCCCTTGGCAGTAAAGCCTCTTGCGAGTGGGAAGCTTCTTCCAAACTACGAACTCAACTTGCACCAAACCCCTTCCGGTCCCTTGAGTGGCACATGGGCCGAAGTGAAATCCCGCGCCGGGTACCGATTTTGCCCCAACTCGGCCTCCCGCCATGGCTCCCGAAGCCTTGGGGTCAGGCTGAGGGAACCCAAATTGCCACCCGAGGAGACAAATGGGGAGACAAGAGTGAAACAAGCCGCAACAAGGTCCGAGCGAGCAAGCGCAAGCAGGGGAAAAAATCAAATGGGGAGACAAATGGGAAGGCAAGCGCGGAGACAAATGGAGAGACAAGTGGGGAGACAAGTGGGGAGACAAGTGGGGAGACACACGGCGACAGACTGGGAGCAATGCTCTGCATGAATAAAGAACCGCCCTTGTCCCTGCCCCCGGCAATATTTGGGGTCCATTTTACAGACTTCCCAGAACGCCCCATGAGGTGTTCCAACACGCCCGCCAAGGTCCGAAGTGAAGCCTCCGAACATACTGTGGATGGTTGCGAAATCCATTTGGCACCACCTGAGATTTTTTGGATTATGACTCCTTGTAAATACCAACAAGCAATGCTTTACATGGCTTCTTGGGTGCTGCGAAATGAATTTCGCGACCATCCACAGTACCACAGACGCCCCATACCCCAAAGTACCATCCGCGTTGGGGCGATGGCTTCAAGAAACCCACGGCCCCTTCGCGTCTGAACCGCGCCTCCGAGAGGGCAAGGTTCACCAAGTCCCGGATCTCCATGCCTCAGCCCCGTGGTTCCGAGGTACCCTTGCAACCCCTGGTGTGATGGCAGAAAACGCCGTCTTTTGCAGCCCCCCCCCAAAGAAAAAAAACGAAGAAAAACACGGGAAACAACAAAGAGCAAAACAAACAGAACCAACATCCCAAACACCAAAAATAATGCAAACCCTAAAATGGCTCTAAAAAACACCTATACCAACTGCGAAGGTACCCTCCACGTAGTTCTTGGCCACCCGCAAGCCGTGGCCATCCGCGAAGAAGTGGGCGATGGAGGTGGTGCCACAGCTGCTGGGACCCGCCTGCAGCAGCCGCACCCGCGCTGAGCGCGCCGAGGGCTCCTGGAGGGGCGTTGGGGGGGCGGGGGTCGGGTCCCCAATCCACCGTTTCTCCGGTCTTCCCCCGTGAAACGGACATGGCTCACCATAAATTGAGATCCCCACTCCCCCACTTCCATATTCAAGGGACGGCGTGGCGATGTTCTAGTCGCGAAGAAAGGGAAGCCGTGACCCTTCCAATCGTGAAAGCTTAACGGAGGGCGGAAGACGATTTTTCCTTTGTGGCACCCCTCTGTCCACCAGAGGGTACCCTCCCGCCCTTTTCTTGCTGGTGCGATAGGGAATGGCCAAGTCTGGGAATGAACAAGGGTATTCCCTTCCAGGAAACCACTGGGATGGTCTATGGGGGTCCTTCCCCGCCAACAGCCGGTCGTTTCAAACGAAGCCACCAGCAGATTGATCAACTTGTGATTCGGGAACATCCAGTGACCCCTGAGAGGAGTACCCTCCCACCCAACATCTGGCTCTGACTTTCCGGGGTCTTCAGGAAAATGGTCCAAACCAGGATCCCCCCGACGTCAGGCTCGACGTCAATTGGCGCGGCTCAAAGTTTGAATGCTGGGTCCATTCACGTGGCTACAGTTGGAGTTGCTTCAAGACCATGGGTTGTCAACTGACTACTCCCTTCAAATTTACACCCCTGGAATCAGGAAGTTTTAAACAGAGTGATTCCCAAAGATTTGGTAGTCACCACTACGGCCTGCAAATGACACATATTGCCTGTGCCATTCAGGTGTTTCCTATAATGGGACCCCCCCCCCAAAATGCATGTTGTCTTTATGATATGTATTTCTCAGTTTACCTTTCAGGAGTCCCTCAGCCATCGGCCCAGGGTTAGGCCCTAAAGCAAATATCCTCGTGATTTCCCTTCAAAGGTGGCCGGGTCTGGTTTCTAAGCTGGTTTCCACTGACCCCAAAGCGCTACCCCCCAGGTGCATGGGATATACAGTCACTAGCCACTACTTTCCCCCGGAGGTGGTGGCTAAACAAGCTTTGTCAGAACCCGAACCCTTAGGACACAGCTAGGGGGTTGTGAAAATGCGGACTGCTGTCCTTTTGGTATCCCCTCGAAAGGCGGACAGGCGACCCAACCATTCACCCACATCCCTGTCTGAGGGAACCCGTCCCGCAGCAGGAAGGTGTCTTTCAAGGTCTCCAGCAGCAGCCGGTCTTCCGAGAGCAAGTTGCAGGCGGAGCCTGCGGCTGCAGCCGGGCACCTCAGAGGTGAAAGAGTGGGCGAAGCCCAGCAAAACTGGCTGAACGTATATCTCATATCTCCATATTCCAAAATAAAACATATCTTCCATGTATATCTCCCCTCCACTGGCTGAATGTATATCTATTAGGTGTTCGGTCAATATAATCGACAATTATGGCTTAAGTGGGCCAAGTCAGGCTCCACAGCCTCTGGGGTCCAACATTCCCGCGGCTCCATATATGGACGCATACACTCAGCCTTTCAACCCTACACCAGTTGGTGGCTGGGTTAGCGCAGGATTCATAGGGTGCCCGTACCAACTGCAGGACTTGCCCTTCCACAGTATGTGCCCTTTAGGCATCCAGCCATTGGCCCAAAAAGGTGCTTAAACCAGCATGCAGTGACCAATGGCTATCCAAACATGTTCCGAAATAGCCAAGAACAATGCGTTTTCTCAGCGTGCATAATCGCAGTGTGTAATATAGAAGCCAAAAAGGGATCACCATGTCCCGCCCACACTCCATTTCGTGGCTTGCCCAGCGGCCAAACAACCAAAACGGGTCCAAGGAACCCTAAATTTCGGGTTTTTGAGCCCAGACCAAAGTCCAGAAATCCCACGTCCACTGGGCACAGGCCCCAAGGCCCCCCCCCCCCCCCAAAAGCCCAAGGCAGGCGCTTCAGGAGTCCCTCGGCACAAACGTGACGGCAGGCGTGTCCCGAGAACCAGCGCCGCATGATGTGGAAGGGCCGCATGGTGAAGAGCAGAATCCCACCGGAGAAGTGCCTTCAAGCGCAAAACAACCATGAAGGAACCCTCCGGGAAAAAGGGGGGAATAAACATTTCACAACATAAACGCGAAATCTTGATATCAGGAGATTCACGAATCACGTGCTCTACACGAAATGTGTGCCAACAGGAACATCAACATTATATTCGCATACACTCGCAAAATGCCTTGTTTTCGTGAGGCGTTTGGCACATTGTTTGGCACATTTCCTCTGGAGTAACATGACTTGAACCCAAGGTTGAGGGAAACATGTCTGACATTTTAGGTGAATAAGACACAAACCCTCCCAAATTGGGTAACCCTATGAAGGGAATCATTAAAGGCGAAGTTTCAAGCCGGGTAAAAAGCAACCATTCTAAATGGATGGGAAAAGAAACCCCGAGCAAAACATGACAACTCGAGGACTTACCTTGTTCCGCTTTCCGCAGAAACCTCCGAACCCATGGACCAATGGACCCTGACAGGTTTTCCGCTCCGCGGGAGCCCCAGGCCCGCTCCATAGACGGCTCCCACTTCTTGCAAGTGAACATCTGGGATGCTTGCAGACGTTCGAAGGGGACGCCCCAAACCCGCCCAAACCAACAGGGTGCCGCGTATTTTCAGGAGACCCTCCAAAATGGACGGTTTTGCCTTTGGTCTCCCTTGAAAACCCACCAAAAAAGTGGCACCCAAACCAAGGCTGCAGCTCTGAAAAGCTGAGGTACGGGTCCGTCTCGTTGGTTCGAGAGACCGCTCTGAGATCCTCTGCGCGCCAACCTTCGGAAGACCTGAGGTGAATCAAAATGACAATCTATGTGGGTCTGCCATTTTGGAGGCACCCTTTTTTTGGGGTTATTTGTTGGGGGGTCTCGAACAAAGATACCCCATCATATTGGGAGGAAGCGAGGTGCGGTGCAAAAACATTGCCTCACCCATCTGGCAACCAACTGGATCTGCTCACATGCAGAAGGAAATTGCTCACTTCCCAGCCGGCTGGTTCTTGGTTTCTAAATGTTCTACTTGTCCAGCTCACCAAGAGGACACTCACCCGAAAATGGTTGAACAAGTTGTAGGAACCCCTGAATGCTGTAGAACCCATCTCAGCATGTCCTCATCGGTATGCTCTCCTCTTCAATGTATGAGTGCTTCTGAAACCAAGGACCGTGAATTCACGGCAACTAATCGGCACGCTGCTTGCCATGTCAACAGGAATCCACCTATCTCACTAGGGGGCACGCCCCATGTCAAGGGATGCATTCCCGACAGCCAAACAGAAAGATCTCGAAAGCTGCCGCGCTTGTTGTAGGGAAAAACAAATTTAATGGCGTGAAAAGAATGGTTGCAACCATCCAACCTATGCCAAAAAGGATGTGTTTTTTCCCTCTCCCCTGGCCAAGCAGCACAAAGCCATGAGAGGCGCCCAGCACGAAATCCAAGTCCTCGCTGATGTTGAAGCGGTTCCTTTGCCCAGGAGCACTTTTCACAGACCCTGTCACAAGGATAGAAGTTTGCCCCCCCTGAGAAAGGAACTGTGTGGATCCCTGTTACAATTTTTCTAGGTGCCTGTTGGTTTTTAAGGGGTGGTTTCCTTGGCTACCTACTATACAAAGAAATGGAATCAGTGGGGAAAACAACAGCCCTGTGGTTTAGGCTCGAGCAGCTCCGGGCCCAGGACCTGGAAAATTATTTCTCACGCGGCCCGTTGTGCTTGCAACTATTCACGCACCAAGCATCCTGAATTCTTTGGCATCCAGATTAAAGGGTAAGCATTTTGACACCATCACCAAGTGAAAAGCAACCAAGGGACCCATGACCAAATTAAACAGCACCTGCGAAATCACCTCAACCCTTGTACAGCTTTGCAGGATCACTAAAAGTAGGTGTGAACAGGACTTCCTGACCCACATCTGGGCAACATAGCAGAATATCTTCAGATTCTAGTTCATATTTAGCCAACCAGAAACACTATATATATATATATTGAACCAAAAAAACACGTTTCGAAGACCCCGATCTTGTGATCAAGTCCAGAACTTGCCGAGGCGCAGCACCTCCGCCGCACGAAGAAAAGGATTGCCATAGGCCAGGCGCACTGACCAGCGTAAGAGCTCCATGGTGGGCATCACTGGCCTTCGCTCGGATGTGGGGTGCCCCCCCCCCCCCGCATTCTTTTGGGGCCCAATACCAGCCGGGTTCGTCAAAAAGGGGAGGTTAGGGGGTGCTTTCCTTTTGGTGTCCCTTTAAACCCAAGCCAAACCAAAAAAAGCATCCTCAAAGATGGCACCCAGCTCTGGGGGAACCGTTCCGGCGTAGGGGCCTTTCGCTGGGGTAACACGAAGTCCTGTCGCCTCGTGGACTGTGATTGGCTCGTTGCAGGAAGCCTATGCTAACATCGGATACGTAAAACCAGCCCAATTGAACGCTTTAACTTCCGGATGCGTCCTCAATTCGGCGTGGCCACCTACTACCTTTTTTGTGCAGACCACCTTCTCCCCCAGAACCCCTTTAATCTGAGGTTTGACCTTTGGGGTGGGGTGAGTTTATCAATCCATCGTTGACATGTAATATGTAGGAGTTTCGGCCGCAAAAAGGCCCAAACACCCAACTGGTAGAGTTTCCTGCAGCTGGTGCTTCAAGTATACACGATTAATATGTGAATAAAGACTCTGTGTCATATTTAGCCAGGTTTAAGTTGCGACCAATTTGCTCAGGAGACGCCGCAACTGTTCTAACATTTCTCCTCAAAGGGTACTAGGGAGGCTGGTCGTTTCAGGAATTTAGGGCTTCTGTATCCCTCATCTCATTCGAGGTTTTCCCCGTGGCACGGTACCGTGGCACTGTAGGTTTTTGTTGCCAATGCGCAAAGGGCTTTTGAAAGCTTTTTTTTCCGGGGCCTGACTGGGACTCACGAAAAGATAACATTCCGCTGGAAGAGGACCAGTCGGACCATGGGAAACACTCCGCCAGGGCGGAGTGAGCACTATGGCATGATCCGAGCCTTTTGAGTTCCCATGGGAAAGCCAACGTTTGAAACAGTGCAAGCTGGACCTATTCATTAGAACCCGTTTAGGGCCTGGCCAGAGATCCCCCGACGTGCGCAGAGTGCAATGGTCCTTTGCCCCCTCAAACTGGATCCGTGCTCAACAACTAGACAGGCTCGATTGAAATCAAATGCTTCCAGATGCTAGACCAGGCACAATTTTGCTGAAAGACCTAAAGGCGGAACAACGATGGGGCAGACCGTGTTGAAACAGGTGGCACGTAAACCGGAAGGGCGCCAAAAGCAAAGACCGATGAAGCACAAAGGTGTCCTTGATGCCTTCATCAAACGAAGCCTCACAGACAATTGGTAAGCAACAAGTGTTCACAACTGTTTCATAAGGGCAGCCTCCAACAAATGGTTTACTAAAGAAAGCCAAAAGGAAACCAATCAATCTTGGAAGCAAGCTGCAAATGATTGTCTCAAATTTGCAGGCAACTAACCACAAAATGGTAATCTCAAAAGTTGGCAGCTGAACTCCAGCAACCAGGATTGCAGTGATTCCCCTGTGAGCACACCGTCTATAGTTTGCTTCACTACCCGAGGTACTTCCCTACAGGTCTCCTGTTCCTGCATGCTGAAGCAATGGGTTTTGCACCGCTTTTTGGTAAAGCATGTGTCTCCAAACAGGATTTGGCTGCAAACGCAATCCACCAGTACCCGCATTTGGGCTGTTTCTAGACATCTATTCCCCAAAATCGTCGTGGGCTTCATATTTGGAACCTACTGTTAGGCATTAGATCCCCTGTTTCGGGGGGTGCAAGCCCGTCTGTGGCCAGAAAATCCCATCCCGGCTTAGAGGAACCTACCGGAAAAAACAAAAAAAACTGTTCAAGGACTGGACCCCAAAACAACCATCCACGCTTAGAGGAAACTCCTTCTAACATCTTCTAACCGCTTTGGGGAACCCGCCTGTGAACTGAGTGTTGAAAGGGGGTCTAGACAAATTCAACAGCTACCCCTTTGGGTTTGCTATGTTTGCTTTTGGAAAAACTGAACAATGGGTTACTTAGCACCGAGCGAATTTGGTGAGAAAAAACACCCTCCACACCCGCCTTAGCAAGCGCAGGCCCACATCCATAAAGGGAGCCTGCACCACCAGCGGCCGGTTTGCTGGCCCCACCGCCACCTGATTCGCCAAGTCGGTGGGTCGAGGGACGGGACCCGTGCTCGAGCACGGGAGGTTGCATACCAATGAACACCAAAAATCATACACCAGGGTGAAAGTAGAGGGTACAACTTCGGAAATCATGAGAAGGAAGTTTGCTCCTTTCACCCAACTCCTTGTACCTGATCCCACAAGTTTGTCACATCCCCGGCTCCCCGCACCTCCCAAAGCACCAAACACCAAGTAAGGGGGGAATTGTGATTTTTACTGGGGACCCGCTGAAAAGCGGGTGGTGGGCATCAATCTCCCCCCCCCCCGGCTTGGTTGCTTGGTTGCTGCTGACGCCTCTGCAAGAAGCTTACAGTAACTGTTGGTGAGTCCAATGGAGACACCAACACGTTAAAAAGTCCAAAGATCCGTTGCCAGCCATAAAGCCCAAATGCTGTTCGCCAAGAGGCCCCAAATTAAGCTCCACCTACTCGACCCCCAAGCGGTGCGTTGCTTGTGTCACGCTCCGCCTGCGTGTCGCTGAGGAACATTGCGAAGTTCCGGTTCCGTGCAAGCAGCTCCGCCAGCTGATCGCCTTTGGCCGCCGAATCATCTGAAGCCGTGGATGGACGGGGGTCACACTGTGGATGGTTGCGAAGTCCATTTCGCACCATGTAAGAAGCCCTGGTTTCTGATTATTTTCCTGTATATACCAACGAACCATGGTTTCAACCATGGTTTTAAAGTGGTGCAGGATTTCGTCCATCTACAGTACCAGTTCAGGGGTTCATACGCTGGCGCGTTGATGCTCATCTTACAAACTGCCCCCACACGCCCAAGGAATTCCATGTGGTTCACATCTCTACTCGCGTGAGCTAAGGGATTCAGTGACCTGGTGACATGTTTCGCCTTGCGGTTTACGCGTCGTTGGCCCGGAGCAACCTGGGTTCTTCGACACCGATTCCAAGATTTGGAAGGGGCCATCCAAACTTGCGCTGACCAGGGGTTTGGGTTACCCACTGTCCCATGAGCAAACCGCCACTGACCGTTCGCTGGCTGCTTACCCCAAAAGCCATCCACAGGTCTCTAGGGGCACCTGAAGGGGTTGCCTTACTTGAGGTATTCTCCAAATCACTTTGCCAGGTGGTTCCCCTTACACAACCATGACGGTAAAATTGGAATGATAAGCCTTTTTGCTGCGGAACTTTAGCAAGGGGGTCCTGCCTTTGCGGAGAGAGAAAGCGCATGAACAAATCCCCTCCCACCTATACAAACATGAATGTGTGCAACAACTCCTGTTGTACATGCTGCCTGGGCAGTTCCACGGTTGACATGAGGGCTACACTGCTGGCCAAAAAGCAAGATTGCAAGAGGTAAAGGGCCGTTTGCGTGCCAGCAATCGTGCCCGGCCAAGCTGGTCCCTAGTGCCCTAGCGCCCCTGAAAACCAGGTTCCCTTTCAACTGGATAGTTCTTCTCTTTTGGGGCTTCCATTTGCTGAAGCCCCCTGGAAAAAAATAACAACATGTCCAGTAGTGAGGGGTTCCTTCCAAAACCAGGGGAAAATAACAACCTATTCTTAAACAAATGGAAGACCGGCCGGCCAGTCCCCGGATTTGTTTCGACCCAAGCCGCCCCCAAGCAATCCCGAGGCATGTGGTCGAGGGGTCGAGGGGCCGAGCCCGGGGAAGGGGATGGTGGCGGTGCTGAGCAGCGCCACCGGCAGCTGACGGCTCAGCAGCCACAGGCCCAAGGCCTGCGAGGCGCCGCGGAGCCGCGCGTGGGGTTCCCCGCGGACCCCCTCCCGCGGGGCGTCCGCCGCATTTTCGCGAGTCGTGCGCATGGAAGCGGAGCCTCTGCTTCCCCCAAGGAGGAGACAGCAACCCTGCCCAGAAGCCACAGAAAGCAGCCTGCATGGAAGCGGAGTCGGGCCTTTTGTTGGAGAAAAGGTTGGAGACAGCAACCCTCCAAAAAGAAACAGGCCACTGAAAAACAGCCTGCATGGAAGTTACCATCCCTTTGTCTTCGTTCATTCCCCGGCAACTTTGCTGGATTGGATTTTTGGAGGGAGGGGTGCTGGAAAAAGGCAAACACATACTCCTGAAATAACCCTCATACGGAGGCGGTTGGTGATGCTGAAGACATCCCTTCATACATCTTAGAACAGCCCCGGGGGGGGGGGGGGGAACACGAGGCATGCAACCTGAAAAACAAAACTTGCCAAGCTTCTTCTGGGAAGAACTTGCATCGCTTCAAAACCAACAAAGGAAAACTTAAACAGCATATTTCTCCAGTAGTGACAGCTTCCTTTAAAATTAACCAACAAAGGAAAACTTAAACAGCATACGTTTCCAGTAGTGACAGCTTCCCTTTAAAAAACCAGAGGAAAACTTAATGAACCTGTTCTTTCTGATCCTCCCGCTAAAAGTGACTAACTTTTAGTGGGTTAAATTCGGAAACTACCCCTAAACACTAAAAGGATATAAAAAGCTACGGAACCGGATGGCTGGGAGCCACCCAGGAGGATGACAAGCTGGGAAAGCTGCCGCGCCTGTGCGTCCAGCTCCAGTGAAGCATCCGGGGCGCTCTGCACGCAGCTCAGCAACCGCCCGGCGTGGCCGAACCAAGCGAGACGCCCGCAGGCGTGGTCCTGGAGAAGAAGGGGGCGGGATCAGGCCACCCTTTGAGGCATTTGTTCCATTTACACCACTCACTGGCTGAGTGGATGGCCCAACAAAAAACCAAGTTTATTTATATTTACCACTAAAATGGTCTTCCCAAAAAGTTTAAAGATCATGAACTCAGGAAGTGAGTTCATACTGCGGCCAAAAGCCGAAAAAAGCAGTGGCTCCAATAGAAACCCCCACTTGAACTGCCTATAAACAAACCGGACGGCTGGGAGCCGCCAAGGAAAGGAAGTTCAACCCAGACCACCTGGCCGTGGGAGAAAAGGACTGTGGATGGCCCGGCGGATCCGCCCTGAAGCTGGAGGTGGAAGGGAAGCCACACTCAGACGATTCCGCGCCAGCTACGAGGCCACGGTACATCGAACCAAGTTTTTCCACAGGGGTCCACGGAGCTTACATGGCTGAAAGTGGTACCAAAATGGCACCCTGGTAAATGGAACCAAAGACTAAAACCCGCGTAACCCCAGCTGTGTAATTGTGAGCCATACCCACATGTGCGGGAGGGTCGTCAATCTTGATCCCAATGTTTTTCAAGATGCATGGGGATGTGTTTCCCGTAAGTGGGGCAAACCCCCGTCCTGGGTTCCCATGCCCCAAAGGGTCCGCAATTTGGTGGATGTGTTCGCTGAACAGTTGCTTGACCTGCTTCCTGCACACGCTGAATCTGCGATCCCAAGTCCCACGAACACAACTGCCTGCACCAGCACGTTCCTGCGGTCAAAGCCTAAAAAGCCCAACTAGGTGACTGTGAGCAATTCCCCACCTTGAGCCCGCCCGGTTCTTGGTTTTTAACCACAAAGTGAAACCACAGAAAAATGAAGAAGTGGGGCCTTGGATGTGTGGACCGAGATCCTCGCAATACATTCATCGGCTTTGGGTTTGTTGTTTTCCACCCAAAAGCACACCATGGGAAATGCGGGTTCGGCTCAAAAAATAAATTCACTCAACCAAGAAGGCATATCAATGTAGAAAGCAACGGGCCGCTCGTTCATGGCGCGTGGGGATGCGCTGTCCTGCTGGGTTGGCTCCATGACCAGTACCACGTGGTGCTCTGCTTGTAAGAGCTGCTGCGATGGCAGCAAGGACCTTCTCAGGCGCGACACCCACACCTCAGCGCGGCGCGAGCAGTCGCTGGATGCCGCTAAAGGAGGGTGGTTGTCACTCCTGGAGATCTTAGGCAAGCAAAAATAAAGGGCCAACACCTGGAAGGAAGAGTCAAATGAGTGGCCAACTGAAAGATTCCGAATGAAGTTGGCGCAATGGCTGGTGGTTTCCTGCCGACTCATTTCAGCCGACCATCTTTGCGGAAGAACCCCTGCCCAGTCCCGAAAGCCTTCGGCCGAACCATCCAACCAAAAAGTCATAGCGGTCCTCAATGGAACCACCCCCGCAAAACAAGGCCTGTTGTTCTGACCCGAGTTTGTTGGCGCAACCAAGGTCCACCCCAGCCCAGTCGATCCTGGCAGGAAACGGTGTAAGCATCCCATTTTTGGTTGATCGTGTTTGAGTGGTTGAGGGGAAACCCACCAAAAAACAGAAGGTGCCACAAACAGCTTGTATGTCCCCTTGATCTATATGATATATGGCCTACTGTTGTTCATCAAGGGTGGAGGCAGGGTTCCTTAAACCATACATCAAAACAACATAATTATTAATAAGGATTCAGGTGCTCGAAATTGGTGCAGGTGACTCTTAAACTGGCCCGTGTATGAACCAGGGGGTATGTTGCCTGTTGATAGTTGTGCACGTCTGACAAGACCGGAGTCGACTGTTGCGACACAATTGTGCGCACCAAACCCAAACACTACCCGCTCAAACAAAAAAAACTGGAAACAAACAAACGCCCCTCACCCCTCAAAACAAAATCAGGTGCAAAAAACCATCAACACAGCACACAAGTAACGCTGAAGGTGAACAAATCCTGGTACCTTTCCAACCCTTACTATGGCAGCAAACAACTCCGCTCTTTTTGCCCCCCCCCCCCCAAAAAAAAAAAACACAAACAGAAGCAAACAGAACTAAACAACCTAAACACCAAAACGTGGCGAGGGAGACAGTGAAGTTTCACCAAAGTGAGCTACCAAAGTTTCACCTAGTGGGTTGGAACAAGTGTCCCATCTTTGGCGGCGGTAACCCTAGTGGTTTGTCTTACAGTCACCAAATCTCGGTTGCTTTCTGCTCCCCTGCTAAAAGTTTTAACTTTTCGTGGTTTAATACGGACAACCCATTAGTTGGCAAAAAGTTGTTCAGTCCTAACATCCCTTGGCAGAATGCACCAAAGAAATCTCACCCCAACGGCTGAGGTCCCCGGCCGCCAGCTCCTGCGCGGCCATGGTGCGGTCCACCGCCGCCACCACCGCCGCGCCCCGCAGCTCCGCTGCCAGCGGCGCCGCCTGCAGCGTCGCCAGCAGCGGGGCCTCCGAGAGGTCGAGGCTCCGGGGAGACACCTGCGCCATAGGTCCAGTAGAGCGGTGAGAGTAAGGGTTCCCGAGCTTTTTTTTGGGGGGAACCCTCCCCCCAAAAAGGGACAAGGGCACTACTGGGGGACCTAGTCCCCTTCAAGGGCTGAATTTACAGGAAGAGCTACAGGAAATGGCACCAAAACAAGCCAAATTGAGCTGTTTTTCCGCTAGAATTTCCTGCAACCCACACCTTTGCTGCCTAGCTTGAGAGGTAAAGGACACCTGCGCCCAAAGCGCCGGGAGTTTTGTTAAGGCGATCGCCTTTGTTGGACCTGGACCATGGGAAAACCAAAAGGTGCCTATGAAAAACGCCGATTCATCAGATTCACCCTGCAAAAGGGTATGTTTTGGAATCGTTCGCCTTTTTGGGACGACGACTATCGACCAAACAGGCGAGACTTATGGCTGAAGGTCGGTTTTGAACAAGGAAGCGATGGTCAGACCTCAACCCTTTGGCAGGTGATTGCCTCGTTGGCCCGCCTGGAAGCTGTGGTGCCGCGTCCTCGTTGACCATGGGTTCGGCCAAAAAAGGGGCACAAGGCGGGTGGCCCATTTTGGAGTGGCTTTCATGCGCAAGGCAAGAGGGCAAGGCAAGAGGAGACCAAATTTGATGGGAGGGGTCCCATTCTGGTGTTCCTGTGGACCTTTTTTGTGGACACCACTACATGGGGAAATGTTCCCCTTGAACAGAAGCGCGAAAACAAGGGGTGGCCGGGAACTCCGCCGAACAACCAACAGACCACAGGCACAAACAAACGCGCATCGCGCGCACAAACCATGTTTTGACGCAGCAAGCGAAGTGCGGCGCGTGGATTTGATTCAGGCCAAGTGTCGAGGCCAACAAGGCCAGGAGGCCCCAGAAAGGCCAGGCATTGTAAAAGAGCTTGGGCAGAGAGACGTCCTTCAGGCCCCAGCCCAGCAACTCCTCGGCCTCCTGGGGAGGTCATTCTTTCTTTCTTTTCTTTTTTGGCCGTGCTAAGGCGCGCAAGGGCCGAAGCCGGCTGGGTAGGGGATCGCAACCAGGGTTCCTGATGTTCACAACCTTGCACCAAGCAAATGGGGGGCATGAGGGGGGATGAGGGGGGATGCGTGAGTGGGTAAAGGCGACACCAGCTGATGGATAAATTGGCGGAGGGGGGCAAGAATGAATCATAAGCCTAAGCTTTCAAATGGGACAGCCCTCCAGCAGTCAACCCGGATTGATCTTGGGGTTCTTGATTGCAAAATATATGCTGTGGGCTCTTGAGAAAACAAGGCACGTGGAGCTACTCAGCCAGCTCCCAAGAACAAATTTATTGACGCCTTCGGACGCCTCGATGACACTTTTGGGAAGTATGGACCAAATTTGGGCACCAAAACGTCAAATTTTAGGCTTTGGGCAAAACGTCCTCTCAAGGTTTCCTAACAAAAGGATGAGGCCGGATTCATGCCCAATTGCTCCCCAACGACTCAGGACACTTTCCCTGAAATGAACAACATATGTTGACAGCCCCCGCACATGCTGATAAAGGCGCATTGGAACCAAGAGTCCGAGGTGTTGCCCACTAACAACTTCCCAAGGGACAATTATGACACATATGGCTACTTATATATATATATATGTATCAGATCCCGCCAAGGGGTGGTGCCAGACTACGTTGCACGTGCCGCGCATTTCAATTCCTCGGCAAGGAGCTCACGTCTGCTCGCTTGAAAAAGTACCAATTCAGGTGGACCCTCAAAATGGGTCGCTGTCCTTTCATGCCCCTTTGAACCAACCCCAAAACGGGTACCCCCCCCCCCCAAACAAAAATAAAATGAACTCACACCCATATGTACAGATGCAGGAACATACATATATATATATATGTATATATATATATATATTATGCCCTGTTCCGTATGGTTTGGCGGCCATCTCAGAAGCAATGGTGACATGCGGTCCTGGGCCAAGCCGTAGACCTCCTCCTGTTTCTGCGTCTCATCGTGGCCAATGCATCGGATCAGCTTCCTGGAACCCCGCGCCCTCTTATTCCGTACAGCCCTCCGTTTACCTGGGGTGGGAGGGGATGTGTCCGAAGGAAAATTCCACAGCTTTTCCACCAAGAGCAAATACGAGACATTTTAATACTCTCAATTCAGTGGTTGGGGCGGGTTGGGACCCCCCTTCTCAGGTCCTGTTCAAAATGCGATTCTTGAAGGTGCGGAACGGGAAGTTTGCTAGACCAGGAAGTCTAAATTTGCCGAGCTTGCTCATCATTGACCTTTGACGCTGGTAAACTCGCGCCTTTGGGTGACCATGGTGACACTAAACAGATCGGAACCCGTTTATTGGAGCCCGTGCTTCCGGGTCCTATATGACTCAATCTCCCACTTGTGTGGGCGAAGGCAGCATCGGAACCGACTTGATCTAACCCCCCCCTTTTTCTTTGAGGGAGATTCCCTTGTATCATCAAAAGTGGCTGGATAAACCCCGAGTTATCCCGCCCTGAACGATCTACCCCCTGGTCCTCCAGTAGAGAGCTTAGAATAGGAGTATCTTTTTTTTGTAGTCTATTTTAGTAGGGGGACCCTCCCCCAAAAAAAGGTACTAGGGCACTACTACTGGGGGACCTAGTTGTAGGTGGGATCCCTCCATTTTTTCCTGACCGAGCCGAGGCGCAAGGCCATGACCCCCGAGGGGCAGATCCGCCGAGCCTTTTTGCCGATCAAACCTCGGGGCAGAAATTCACGGATCCAGGTCGCAGAGAATGCGAGGCATTCTCATGGACCGAGTCAACCGGTTGAAAGCCGAAGAAAACGCAAAACGCAAACGGCTGTACATGGGAACCCGGGCTGTCCTCAGATCCCCTGCTAACAAGGGTTGAATGGAAATCCCCGCTAAACCCCGACAACCTAAAACGCCTAGGAAAGACGGCTTAGAACCGCCAACTAGGTCCTCCAGTAGAGGGGTTTAATTATCAGTTGTTTTTGTCTGTAGTCTATTTTAGTAGGGGAACCCTCCCCCAAAAAAGAGTAAAAGGGCACTACTGGGGGACCTAGCCAAGTAACCCAAAGCAGCCAAAAGGGAAAAGATGCGCTGAGTCTGGCGAAGCAACTGGCTGAGAAGGCCACCCGCGCTTCGTTGGTCCACTCGAAGCCCTGCAACGGGCGCTTTGCAGCTGTGCCGTCCAACCCCAAGACCACCAGTTGCCAGGCACCAGCTTCGAGCGGGTACCCCCGTCTTCCAGCAATCAAGTGGACAAAAGGTTCCCCAACAAAACTGTCAGCTTCCGTGATTGGAGGGAGGGAGGGCTGATTTCTTCAAGAAACCTCATGCAACACTTAGATTGAAAAGGGCACCACTAGCTTTTCTGCTGGCAACTCTGGGGACACTTTCGGGTGGTTTTCTTTGAGGGCACGTTTTTTGTGTTTTGTTTTTTTTTTTTCTACCACTTTGGACCTAGGAAGTGTGTGTTGATCGACTTACGGCCATACCTGGCGGTCCGTTTCAGAGTCCAAGCCACAGACAAAATAAAACAAGTTTCAGGGATCCTTCTTTTCAGGATCCAGGATCCATGTCATGGGTGAAACAAAAGTCCTCTGCGCCTCCAAACCGGCACAAACCGGCGTACCCGGGACCCGGAAAACACCACACGACCAACGGTGCAAAAAGAGGCGATGTGACACGATGTCGTGACAACAATGAGACCTCAGCGTTGGTTTTCGTCCCCCCAAAAAAAGCCGGGGCCCAAGTCCCGCCTGCTCCCGGACGATCTTCTCGGCCAAGGCCATGGCCTTCGTCCAGAAGGTGACGCCGGCCTGACAACTTCCGTGTTTCCATCTGGTTCTCACTTGCTGGGCTCTCTGGTACCTGTGCGGTTAAGCGGCTAAGGCAAACCAAAGGGAGAACCATCATACTTGTGATGTCCATTCAGTAGTAGAGAGAACTTCCTGGATTTTGGAACATGGATCCCCTTAAAAAAAAAGATTTGTTGTTCCCATCTGTATCCCGCAAGCGGACAGAAAGGGACATGTGACATGTGCACCAAAAAGACCTCTTCATGGATGTGGATCCCGCCTCAAGGGATGGTCAGGCATTCAAGCCTGGCAACCTCCCTATGATTTGTCCACTTCCTGCCTGGCAGAACTAAGCATGAAGCTGCCGATCGCCCGAAGGCCCAAAGACTACCCTAAGGCCCGAAGGCCCGAAGGCCCCAAGGGTCCCAAGGGCACGTTGGAGGGCCCCAGGTTTGCGACTGGCGCACTACCATTTGTGTTTGCTATGTTTTGCTGGGTGCATTTCAGCACACCCTTTTGCCTATAGATGGTCGCTGAGAGGAAACCACCCCTTAAAAGAAAATATGACAAC